GAATTAAGAATTCAAAATAAGTGACAACATTTTACATGAACAGAATGTACACACTGTTATATTCTGGTCCTAACTGAGCTGCAATGTTCAGTTTGGGCATATCTGCATAATAACGAAGTGCAGTTTCCAGTGAGGTACTACATGCTTATGTTCTGATGCCACCACAAGGTCCCCATCACCCAATGATAATTCCAATATCTCACTCTCACAACTCTTTTCTGATCTTTACTACTTTAATCTCCGAGTTCATTACACAATAAACTACTTTTAATACAACACAACAGTTAACATATTAAACACAGTTCTAGTGGTAACATTAAAAACATATTTCTGTAGTATATATATATAAAAATTCATGCTTGAAAATCTCTAATGCTTCCTGCTTTTTTTTCCACATTTCTTTTTAAATATAAAAGTAGCATTCAATTCTGGTTTCTGTTTGAACTATTAAATAGTCTACATGTTGCCTTCTGGTCTGTTACGCTGATTAATTTCTTCAGTTTCAATCATATGATCATCATATTTTCACTTCACCTGAACTCCATTAACAAACTTAAGGAGCTGAGACACCAACAAGAAGGTCGCAGAAGCAGTGCTATCTCAGTTGTGCGCTCACCCAACAGTTTTTTTGTTGTTGCTGGAATCCACACGAAACCCAAAAGGTGGAACAAAATCTATTCCAAAGCAAGGACAATTCATAGAAAAGTGAACATGCTTTAAGCTGTGTATAGCTGAATGAATCTGGAAAAATAAAAATCCAGATCAAATCTGAACCCCCCTTTGTATAAATTGTCACGTACTGAATGTGTTCTCTGATTATTCTCCTCTTAATGTTTTACTAGCCTTTCATATTCACTTCATATATGGGCTTGCATATGAGTTCCGATATCCTGACGAGTTTTCAAAACTATCTCAATCACCCAGTCAAATTATCAAACGGGACTTTTAAGACGGCATCACTGTCTATCATAAGTTATAAAGTAGATTCTGTTATCGTATGTATATCCTTTCTGCAGTGAAAGTTGCAAGACTTTCAGAAATTAATATCAATTATCAATGCAT